ATATATATGTGTGTGTGTGTGTGTGTGTGTCCTTGTTTTTCCTACATCGTGGGGTCCAGGGTCCGGGTGCTCCTTGGGCCCCACAACTTCAGAGGCTGATTTTGGGTGTGGGGGTTGGGTTTAGGACCAAGGTGTGAATTGAGTTTTAGGGTCAGGTAAGTACCTGTGAGGTTAGCCTTAGGGTTTGTGGTCAGGGTTAGGATATAAAATTACCAAGATATGAATGGAAGTCAATGGACGGGCCCCACAAGGATATAAAAAGTAGTGTGTGTGTGTGTGGGGTGGGGGGGGGGTGTTTGCATGTACGTGTGTGTATATGTGTATGTTTGTATGTGCTTGAATGTGTGCATAGGTGTGTGTGTGTGTTTTGTGTATATTAATTAACAATGTTATAATTATTGTACGTAGGTGTGGATGTGTATATGTGTGTGTATATGTTTATATATGTGCGTATGGGTATATGTACATATATCTGTTTAAGTTTGGTTGCTGGGTGTTTGTTCTCTTCATTTGCTGATGGTCAAATGTCGGGTGTGGTGTCCTGTGTGTTATTGGTGTTCTTTTCACATGTTGTATAATTTCTATTGGTTTCTGTCTTTTCTGTTCTTATATTTCTCTTTTACTTTTTCTTTTTCTTCTTACCATAGTATAAAAAAGCCACTGGTGATGCAAAAATTAAGAAACTTGGAATGTTTGGTTGAATCCCACATTATTGGTTGATGCTATAAGTTTAAAAAATTAATCGCCTCGGATTTTGATGAAACTTTCAGAGAAATTCTATCGCTTGGAGCTACGGCTGACAGAAATTTGAGTCAAATTGCACCGCTGGTTTAATAGTTGGGTTTTGGTTTTCTAGGATTAAATATGGTAAATTGTACTGAACTTATAGAGTGCTTTTCAAGTCCCTCCAGACCCCAAAGCGCTTTACACTAACAGACATTCACCCATTCACACTCACATTCACATTCACATTCACACACTGATGCCACAGCTGCCCTGGGGCATACTGACAGAAGCGAGGCTGCCATGCACCGGCGCCACCGGATCCTCTGACCACCATCAGTAGGCAAGGTGGGTGAAGTGTCTTGCCCAAGGACACAACGACTGAGACGGCTGGACGGGGGAYYRARCCAGCGACCTTCCGGTTCCAGGACGACTCCCCTAACCACTCCGCCACAGCCGCCACATATTCCCCTCAAACAAATGGTTTCAGGGAATGTCAATCGCACCATGTAGATCAGCTGATTAAATTTTGAAACATGTCTGAGCAGACCCAGAAAACTCTGCTGTCTGTTTGTTAGCAACTGTTAGCAATGTCTGGGGTGCACACCGGCTACAGCCTGGATCTCCATGACACGGGTCGTGTGCTTTCCCCAGTCAATGGACTGTGAGCCGGGCAGATCACTTGAGCTCTGCGTCTCGGTGGAGGAGTCAAACCCACTGCCCCTAAATGCATATTATCAGGTATGACTGATGAGTGCCTTCCAACCTACTAGGAGGTAGAGGAGGGACAGTCTGGACACACAATGTATGGGACTGACCATTACCTCCATAGCATAGCTTCAGGAATTATAAGTTACAAACATCCAACCAAGCTGCATATTTTTTAAACAAATAATCAACACTTTTATTTTTGTTAAACTTTGACCATTTATACAGTCAAAGCAGTACCTTGTTTCAAGGTTTTCATTTTTTTTTCCGGGATGATGTTCAGGATGTGGGAGGAAAATCAGTCTAACAGGCTAAAAAGCTTACAAGCTTTTTTCACAGTTTTAAGATTCTGTCTTTTTTATTCCAGAAACAGACTTCAGATTATTTCTGTCACACAATGAAAAATACATGAATTTGAATCAGTAAAATTTTGATAGCTTCATTTTTCATGCATAAAAGTAAAAAAAAAAAGACATAGACCCCATTAGGAGAAACAATAAAGTAAGTAGCTACTGAAGTCAAATTGAACAAAAGGGAAACATTTATTAATGCTTTGTTTGTTTGTTTGTTTGTTTGTTGGAAATTAAGTATTTTGTTCTTTTTTGTTGTTGTTGTTGTTGTCCTGCAGTTCAAGACAACAAGACTAAGAGTGTTTTTAATTCTAGAATTTTTCTCTATGGCACAAAACTGAACTCAGAACAGTCTCTAAGTAAACTAATTAATTTATCATTTTAAATCAAACAAAACACAACTTACCTGCCTGTAGTCGGAGGCACAGTCAGGTTTAGTGAGAACGTACAAGATGCAGCAAAGCTGAGATATGAACTGAGACAGTCCGTTATGTTGCTATCTGAATCTGCACAGAGTTGGAGGTGTTGAACTGCACTAGTCTGGATCTTTGTCATGTGACTGTTGAAGGCTGGACTGTAGTAGAGGTTCTGTTTAAGAAGCAAATTCTCTGCATTTAAAGCTAATGGATGAGGGGGAGGCAAAGCACAGAGGGAGCTTATAGATTAGACTAAATGTATGAATGAAAATACAAGTCATGTTTGGTAGATTCTTTCATGAATGAGTTCACATATGGGTTGTGCCAGTGGGCAGTCAAGCAGAAGTTTTTAGTGGACAGCTTTCAGTAGCCTCTGAGTTGGGGTCCGGTCAGGGTCAGACTGGCTTTGATTTAGCTCAAATTCCAGCTCAAATCAGAAACCCATGAGAGCTTGTATTTTCACTGCATCTCCATGCTGACTGGTACTTCATATTCTTTCTTTAAACGTCAGAATTTGTTGTCAAAATATAACATTTTATGAGGCTAACTGGCTTTAAAATCTGCAATGCAAAAAAATGTATTACAATGAATTAAGACTGTTAACAACTGCATTATGTTGAATGCCTTCTGAATGCGCCTCCCTGGTGAGGTGTTCAGGCACGTCCCAGTACACACTGGAGGGACTATGGCTACGTTCACACTGCAGGTCTTAATGCTCAGTTCCGATTTTTTGAAAAAATCCGATCTTTTTGTGTGAACGTTCACATTACATTTTAAATGTGACCTGCATCAGACCCCTGTGTGAACGCAACACAGCACTGATGTGACACGCACGCGCAGTAAACGACGTCTCATCAGCCGGCTTGTTTGTTTACAGAGCTAGCATGGATGCTACATTTTGCGCATCAGATCAGAAGTTGTTGTTTAATCAGAGCCGATTAAATAATTATCTGACATGCTTCTTTAGTTCAGTGTTTATATCTGAACCTGCCTCTGTCCGGGATGCTCCAATGAAGCTTTTATTTTTTTTTTGAACGAAACTACGAGCTGGAAAAAAGTATCGACCAAGTATCGAACTTTAGGATCGATACTCTCCGCGACCCAGGCTGGACATGTTATTATCAAACTATCTACGTGGAAAATGAAAAGTAAAAAGAAGAAGCAACTGGACTTGTGTTTTGGAGCTGTAAACATACGGAGCTGCAGATTTAAACAGCGAGACTTGAGGTTAGTGTCTTATCGATCCTTCACCCCCTCCTCACTGATGAAAAAGTCGGATGAATGTGACATGAGCGTTCACACTGCAGTCACTTTGAAAACATCAGATATATATCCGATTTAAAACCACAT